ACCTCCTCTACCTCTACCAGAACTTATTAGCTCTAAACTAGAATACAAAGTAGAGTACATAGTAAATACTAAGCTACTATACAGAAAACTCAAATTCCTTGTTTACTAGAAAGGGTACTCAGTTGAGGAGTACACTTGGGAACCTACTAAGAACCTTACTCATACTTTTAAGACAATCTGAGATTTCTATCAGCTTCATCCTAGTACTCTACACAAACTCAGCCTTATAGATTTCCAAGCTCTACTATTCTGACCTATGTTTAAGCTACTGACTGAGTCTAATGTTTACTAATTAGGACAATTAGTTTTAGAGAGAGGGTAATGTTATAATTCTCTACTCTTGTACCTTTAGTTCTAAGGGTTCTACACCCTTCTATACTAGAACTCAGGACTTCTGTCCCTCAGGAGTACTGTCTATAAACTATATGTGTACTAACTCTTACTACTACCCTTCCTTACTTTATTATTCTATTCCTTTGACTACTCCTTTATTCTTTGTTTATTCTATAGTTTTTTACCCTTTATCTATCCCTTCATTCTTTGTACCTTTATCTTTAACCTTCCTTTCTTTCATTCTTTATAGCTTATCATTCTTAGTGACTCATACTTTCTGAGTACTCTTGTATAGTTTAGTATATATAGGCATACAAGATTAGACTAGTCCTGTAGTTTTAATCTTGTTTACTCTAAATAGTCCTGTACTCTTAGACTCACTCTATATACTCTACTCTTGTCTTACTCTCTCTCTCTACCTGTTTTGTAAGTTCTAACTATGTTCTAGTGCTTACATTCTGTATTTCTGTTATGTAAGATAGTTGTAACCTGAGTCCCCTTGTTAAGCCTTTAGGTCCTCTTTATACTGTTACTAACACTATTCTTATCATTTTACAGTCACAACACCTTTTTTCATAGTAAAAAAATGTGTTAAGACTGGAAATAGTATAATATTAGTATAAAAAAATTATACATTATTAATAGAAATATATATAAAAAACTTCAAAAAGTGTTAAGAATTGTACCTTTTTGAAATTTTTATGAATTTATTATTACTCAAATATTAAGAAATGTATCATTTGAAAACTTCTATAATATAATTACTAGTACTAATTATTACTGTACAAACTTTTACATAAAAATAATAAGTAGAATATAAGATAAAAAATCAGTAGTGTTTAAATTGTAATAACAATTGTTACTAACATAACAAATTAGGTCATATAATCTAACCTGTAATATTAGTAATAACTCTCAAGTTTAGTAAACTATTAATTACTATTGTTTTTATAAATATTATTATATATATGATTTGTAATTTTTGTTATACTAAATATACTCAAATACAAAATCTACTATAACTCAACTAATACTTAACCAAATTATATGATCTAAGTTGTAAAAATTATACTTTTAAAGTATCTTTCATATTCTAGAAAAATTAAAGTAAAATGAGCAAAAATTGAGTAAGATATAATACAATATGTGAGTTTTCCTTATATTTTATGTATATAAGTTTTCCTAACCCTAAAACTGATTATATAATACTATAAACTAGTCTAAATAAAGAATATAACTTTATTATTAATTTACATATTGAATTCTAACTAGGATACAGAATATACATATAAGTATAATACATATTTAAGTTTACTAAAATTGAGTATTTTCTTCTAACCTCTTTATACTTAGGAAAAATTCTTTTAAGTATTATTTATATTTGTAAATTTAGTATAAACAAAATATATTAAATATAAGTACTTTTATAAGTTATAGTAAAGTTATATAAGTTAAAAAAGTACTATTAAAGTTATAGTTACTATAGTCTAGTTTTAAACTAGTTTACTCTTTCTTTACCTAAACTATAACTTAAACCTCTTTATACAGTTTAAGTAAAGAAGAAACCTAGACCTAAACCTTTATAAACTATTGTTAGACTAAACCTAAGGTTTAGTTCAGGTCTAGTCTAAATATAATCTAAACTAATAGAACTTATACTTATAATTAACTTAAGAGTGTGTCTTTAATATAAGTAAAGGAGTTTAAGTATTTTATAATAAATAGTATTTAGAATTCTGTACTTTAAACACTTTAACCTTTTTAACACTCTTAATAGTAAATGTTTTAATAAACTTACACTTTCTAACTCTCTTTAGTTTATTACTATTAAGTGAGTCATTCTCTAAGTCTCTTTTTTCTATAGTAATAATTTTTTTATACTTAGAGAATAGAGTATTTTAATAAATGTTATAATATAAGTAACTATTAGTAGTACTACTAGTAAAAGTACTCTTTTATACTTTCTACAAATTAGGTAATAGTAAAACAACATTATTACTTAGAGAATATAGTTATTCTATCTTTAAAGTGTTTTTAAAAGTACTATTTATATAGAAAGTAAGTTTTTCTAAGTTTATAAGTGTAAAAAGAAAGCTTATACAAAAAGAGTATAAATTATAATTTAACCTAGTCTAAATATATAAATTATAATACTATAATACATTTTCCTACAGTTTTATAACTAATTCTACTATATTTTAATACTTACTTCTATTACTTTATATATATATTAAGTAAGGAGTAAATACTCTAAATTATATGTTAATTTAATTAAGTATTCTTATATTAAATTAGAAACATAAGTTCTGAGTCTAGTCTTTAGTTCTTAAGATCTAGTCTAGTCTAGGAAAATGTAGTATTTTCTAGACTCAGAACTAAACCTGTTTTAAACTTAATTAGACTAGACTTATTATAATTTGAACTTTAGGTTTAGTCTTAGAGTTAACCTAAGTTTATTAGATTTAAAACTAAACATTAGTAACTATAATTAAAGTAGTATATAGAATAATGACTTTTTACTTTATTTAGACTAGAAATCCATACTAAGTCTATTAAAACTGTTTAAAACTAGTCTGATTTATTTAGAATGAATTTACAAACATAAATAATATTTAGAAGAATCTTTTCTAAGTATAAAAAGGTTAGAAGAAAATACTTAATTTTAGTAAACTTAAATATGTATTATACTTATATGTATATTCTGTATCCTACTTAGAATTCAATATGTAAATTAATAATAAAGTTGTATTCTTTATTTAGACTAGTTTATAGTATTGTATAATTAGTTTTAAAGTTAGGAAAACTTATATATATAAAATATAAGGAAAACTCACATATTGTATTGTATCTTACTCAATTTTTGCTCATTTTAATTTATTTTTTCTGGAATATGAAAGATACTTTAAAAGTATAATTTTTACAACTTAGATTATATAATTTAGTTAAGTATTAGTTAAGTTATAGTAGATTTTGTATTTGAGTGTATTTAGTGTAACAAAAATTACAAATCACACATGTAACAAAATTTATAAAAACAATAGTAATACTATACAATATACATTATTTTAATTATAATTATAATTATAAGTATTAATACTATATATTTAATATTAAAAATATTAGTAAGGATGAGAAGAATGGCTCTAAGGAGGAGTAACAAATACTGTAGGAAAATAGAGGTTTAAAGAGTAGTAGGACATACTTTTAGACTATAAAATGTATACTTAATTTCTCTTTCATTTCTTATTTTTTTTACTTAAAATTCTAACAGATTATACTTAAGTAAATATAATTAATTATTATAATTTTTTTTGTAATAAAAATTATTAGTTGTTGTATAAATTAAAAAACAAAATGTGCTAATTTAAAGACTAATAGATAATAATATATCCAGACAGGGTTCTTGTCCTAGTAGGGGCTGTATGTTATTAGTAATGTATTAGTGTGTAGCTCTAATTATTATTAATGTATTATAGTTTAATTTTAGCTTTCCCCTAATCTACTAAACTGTATTCATTTTATTATAATGTTCTTACTCTTCTACTAAGAGAGCTTATAAAGGAATATCCAGATATGTTATTCTTATTCATTTGTCTGTTTTTGGACCTGCCAACTAAGACAGTCTAACATGTTAAGAGGATTACTACTAACTTTTGTAAATAATGAGTCAAGTTTTTTTACAGTTATAAGACTGAGGAAGATTCAATTATTAATCAGTTGTATATTACTGAAAAACAGGTATATTTAACACCTTTTAGGCAACATGATTTTGTTTAGACATTTCTTACAAGAATGTACCTTTTGTACACAGTATCTAAACAGGATTCTTTTACTCCTTAAGTTGTTTGGCAACATTTGCTAATAAACTTTTAAGACAGGATTCATAAAAGATAACACTTGGATAATGTGTTTCCAATTCTTTTTGTACTAAACATAACCTATCTGTATGACTCTTTCAACACTAAGGACTTTTATACTGTTAACAAAAGAGTAATTTGTTACTTTTTCCTATTACTTAAACATTGACCACTTTTAAAGTGTAGACTATGTTAGACATTAGATTGAGCCTGATTATACTGTAATAATAGTAAAGTTGTTACAAATGAATAGTGTACTCTGTTATATTGTCAATCTTACAAATAATATTCTTAGAGACTGTAGTATAAATAGGAAAGGAGACCCTCCATTCTCTTTCTGCTTCCAAACCTAATGATGCAGAAACCATTCTCTGTCCTGTAAGGCAGTACAAATCATATTGAGCTCGGCGAGAGAAAAAACTTCCTTCGTTCCGAGAGGAACGAAGACTACACAGCTATCGTACTGTGAAGCTATTCGAAAGTTCAGTCCACTGTCGTAATTGGCTGGTACACAGGTACAAAGCATGCAACCTTTAAACACACAGCAAGTTCGCCCTAATTTTCTTAATTCAGTGGTGCCAGCGGCAGATATTCGTCTTATAAACTCACAACCCCTAGACCAAATTATGTATAGCTACTTAGATAACACATCACGCAACTTTTGAGGCACAAAAATATCGAAAAATCGGTATGAATATTCGAGTAATACACTTGTCCCACAACATATTCTGACTAATTACATACTTTACAGAACCAATTGACGATAAATAGAACAAGGACATCAACACGAAGGCATGGCAGTGACGTTATTTAAGACGGGCAATCGTCGAGGTTAAGGTCACCGTCAGGGCAAGCTGGAATCTGAGTCGCTTGTCCACCGGTAGCCGCCAACGACGGGAAGGGCGTCTCTGCGCAAGCCTGTTGGACGTCGTCTGGGCTCGTACCCGCAGGGAAGCTGAAACCAGAAATATGTCAGAGACCGCACAATTCTAAGGTAGAAACCAAATGCTCACGTTGCGGCAGAGCTGACTGGTGCAATCGGGCTCGGGATAAGCTCAGAGCAGTCAATGAGTTGATTGCGGTTGTGTCCAACAATAGCCAGCTTAGCCATGGCCGACTGGAAGTTCTGCATCATCAATTGCTGGTTTGCTATAGAAAACATCAGCAACTGTTTCAGGTCGACAGAGAGATTATCAAACACTGCTACTTACCAACCATTGATTGCCACTCGCAGGCCGTGCGGGAGTCGCGAGCGAGAACAAAGTCAGACTGGAGGCGCATCTCTCCAGACTGAGGAAGCGGTGAGTCGACCTCTGCGCCATCAGTGTTGTTCACGCCGAACGGGATGCCGTTACCCTGGAGCAGGACCTCGAGGAAAATTTGCGGGTCGAACGTGAAGGGAGTAGTGTCGAACGGAACAGCCTCGTGACCAGGGACCAGGGTGTCAGAACGCGCAATCGTGTGGCTCACAAGCAAGTGAATCGTCTCTGCATCACTGAAGCCGCCATCCTCCATACGCGAGAGGATCAAGTCGGCAGGGCTCTGAGGTAGAGGAACGGATCCCGGGTCCACTGGGAACGTCGCATTCGGTCTACCCGCGAGGAATTCCAACCTAGGCGCGCCGGGGCAGTTCGTGATGCCGAGCGCACCAGCGAACTGGATCAAATCACCAGCAGTCACATTGTGGCGCGTGAGGAACGGTGCAATTGCATGGACCGGATCATCGATACCAGCATTGGCTGGATCAGCGAGTTCGGTGTCGGAGAACAAGATGATTGAACCATCGGCACCCGTTCCCTTGAACGCACCAGACCCGGAGAAGCCAATAGCGTCGTGGAAGGTGAGACGGAGGCTGGCGCAAAGTGGAAGATCAAGGTCAGATCCAATTGACGTACAATCGAACTTTACTTACGATTCGTGGACATCCTCGCCGCACTCACCCTCAAAGAGATTGTTCTGAAGATCATCCCTGAGGGCAAAGAATGCACAGCACTGAGAAGATAACGACGTTAGCATGAAAGTCCTGCCGAGGGTAGCAAGGAGACTGGCATACAGCCTCATTCGTCGCCGTGTTTACGCCATCGGGGCAGGTGACACGCTTGTAGTTGGCGGCAGCAACAGACGTGGCTAGTGCAATAGTGGCGATAGCGAGCTTGAGCATTGTAAGTTCACAGCTAGAAGGAGGCAGGGTAGTGCAACGGACAAGAGACACTCAGAGGAGTCTGAAGAATTGGGCAACGTCTCTAGGGGCATTTTATAGACGCGCCCGCTCTTACAGAGTGCTTCAAAGATATCACAGACTCTCAGAGGAGCGCCAAAGGATCCTAAAAACACACCTCAAACAGACTATGTTGCAAGAGTGGTTCTCATCGGTGAGACCGACAGATGATGCCATTTCGACCAGTCAGAGTGCGCATAAAGCGTAAGACAGAGCATTATCAACCGATGAGCGGGAATCCGAGGCACCGAGAGAACGGGATAGAGCAGAAGGTGAGACGCAGACATGTGTTTCCGTGGGTGCTATCGGACTCGCATTGATACAGCAACACGGAGAACTAAAGTAGACACAGTGGCCGGCCAATGATGCGCGAAACAATCAGAACCGCAGCGTCGTATAGAGCGCAGCCGTGGAGAACGAGCGAGAACACCGACCCGAAGACAAGGACTCGGAGGATGCGTGAGCTAGAGACGGTTGCCGAGTGGTGATGTCCGAAGCTCACAGGCGATGGTCGTTGCTAAAAACGAACACGGCGGCGCCGATCATAACATACAAGAAACATAGCATGCTCGGCACGTGCCTTACCCTTTCCCAAGCGTTGAAATCCTTCGAATGCAATTGCACAAGGGCACAAAATGAAATTTAATTTCTGGGCTTCGAATCTCATCACTAAAAATTTTCGGCTCCGTCGATGCACAACTTATGCCGTGTAGTCAGAAAGCGTTAGTACAACATATGCCTAATGCCGTTAAATGCGCTGTGAACTCCCAAAGCTTGATATTCTTATGTGCCTCAAGTAACAAGCACTAGAGCTACATCATTTACGTTTCTTCAGCAGGACTAGTGTACAAAGGAATGTATATTGCAAGGTAAGCCAAGCATATCAACGCTTGCTGGTTGTATATATAACGCTTATGTTTAGCGATTCTGAATAGCAAATGTAAGATTGAGTTTCATAGGAAGGTACTTTTCAGTTATGAAGGAAAGTAAAATATTCTTTGTGAGCCAATGCTCATGTCGGTCTGCATGTTTTTAGCCCAACATAAATATGCAGCATACTAGTAACTAGTTACTAGAGTGAGAGGGAGTCTAAGGCACAAACAGTAATCACACTTCTTGGTTCCTGGATGACTACTATCAGAGGCTTTACGGACTTAATGTCGATGTTATATCTTGTGGTTCCTGTGAGAGCGGAAGTGTGTCATCGTTCATTCAGTTTTTTTTTGTTCACAGAAGCACTAGAATGCTGATTAAATTAACGTACTACTGCACAGATCCCGGGTGGCTAGAAAGTTTTGTACACACATAATATTAATGGAACTTACGAATGAGGTATCACAATAATAAACGATGGTAATACACCTTTAGGCCTGAGATTTCCAGACCTAAAGCAGTTGATTACTAGATTTGAGAGCTGCATCAGTTGCGTATCCATCTACGTTTTCTGCACGCTCATGCAAAATGCCTTGGGGCTGAAAGCTGCCGTCTGTTTTTCGTTTCTTAAATCCGTCTCGTGAACGTGTTTCCTGCCGGATCCTCTCACACCTCTAGCAATAGTCTGGTCTGCACTTCTGGCCGACGAGTAAAAATACCATAAGAATTGTAGATATGCTCACGGTGGTCGCGGATTATCAGACCGACTCAGTGATTGCTCCTAAATGTGCTTCCCATAGGCTAGACAGCTGAAGAGGGTTTATTATAGACGTGCACATGCTTGCTTAATCTCATCTACTACAGTGCAGAACCTTGCCTCGCCCTGGGCATCCATGATATCACAGTCCCACCACTCGACTGGTGCAGTGTCAGTCACAATGTTAGGGTTACGAGGAGTGATGCGTGGTGGGATCATTGGAGCCTCTGTATTAGTGGTGTCGACATGATAAAAGCAGAGTTGCGTTCCTATAGCACTGACTGCATGAAGAGTTGATATTGGACATTCAGCTTGTTATTTAGCAAAGCATAGGTTGTGTTTGAATTATTACAGGAAATTACTAAGTACAGGAGGACTCGGAACTTACCACTCAAATTTCCTAAACGCTCCCTGATCTGCTCATCAGCTGTCTGACGTCTTGAAATATATTGAATATCCGCTGGCTTCTTTAGCTCCACGATGAAGACAGGACGGCTCTCAAATAATACTTCGAAAGTCACAACCCAATTGGGAGCTTGTCGAATGCTGGATTGATGAATTGTGGGACAACAGTGAAGTCGGAGCCTGAGTGCAGGGAAAAGGTAGTAGAGAAGCTTGTTGTATGGCCCATAAAAGTCACTTTCATTAGGATTCTGGGGAACGGTTTGAAATTGGCGAATGACTTTCTCTGGCCAAGCCATAGTTCTTGTAAGTTGTGGATCAAGTTAGGGACTGACACAGTACCGTCACCGCGCAACACGGATAACACTATCCGCGGTTTATATTCCCACAGTTACTATGTAAATGTTCTGCACAATACTGTTACTGTAAATACATGTATTACCTTTTTTTCTTTTCTTTTTTTCTTTTACTGTTACTTAATACAACATGCAATTTTTACAAGAAACCAATTATGTACTACTGAATACAGGTATTAGTAGGTTATATCAACAAAAGAATACAAGAAAGAAATATAAATAATGTGAAAATTCATCTAATTTTTTTTTGGTAATAATTAAGCATAAGTTAAAAGGTATTATTCCCAGAAATCTTTCCCTTAATAATAATAATAATAGTATCTTGAATGTTAGAAAACATAGAATTATTGTAAGTTTGTAAGTTTATATTTTTCAAATAGCTTCAAATGGACACTTTAATCATTCAATTTGAGTAAGATTTTACTAAGATATAGTAAAAATATATAGTTTTTTATATTTTTTCACTGTTTGAATTTTCATTGTCTTAAAACTAGACATATAGGCTTGGATAACTGCTTATTATAGACAGATATATTAGTACTTAATTTACATACTAAATTTGTTGTGAATTACTTGTTCATTCTACTTTACTTTGAGAGAGTTAAAATGTATAAAACTAGCTATTTTTTCCTAGTTCCTTCTATACTTAATAATTTTTTTCAAGCTCAAACTGTATTCCTAAATTAAATATAAATATAATAGAGTATCTTACAAAAGAGTTCATGTTCATATAATAAGAGTTGAGCTTGAGTATATATTTGTATATTACAATATAAGATCTTAGCAACCAAAAGCTTACTAATACATATTTAGCCAATCAGAAAAGGGTTTAATTTAGCTAAGCAAGACAAAGAAAGGACTAAAGTTAAATCAGAAAGCTTACACCTGTATGTATACTTGAAAAACACTAGGGTTTACATTATTTGTTTACTTATAAGACTTATGTTTAGTAATTGCTAGTAAAATACAAGGTTGGTTTCTACAGATAGTAACCTTTTCAACTCTAAAGGAAGGAAGTACAGTCAATAATCTTATAATGAATATGGTAGTAAGGAATATATCTTATAAGGAATAATTTTTCCTAGCAACAGACTCAGTACACAGTAAATTATTCCAAATATTTGCTATAGAATAACAAATAGAAAATTTTCGGATTATTCCTTAGTAGATGTCATTTGTATACCAAAAATTGATTAGCTTGTACACTAAATGAGACTAAATTGTTTACAAATTGAAGCAAAAAGTCTAACAGTTCTATAGAACATGGGAAATAAGCTTTATTAATGCCTAAAGGAGTAAAGAATCTTAAGATATAGTACTGTCAGGAACAAGTTACAGAGCTGAAGAAAAAATGCAACACATACCTATACTAAGAATAGTAAAGACAACAAACCTGTTATTAAAGTGCTATCACCTCTTGAAGGAATTCAGATGTGTGATACAATGACCAATCTTTCTATTACACACTGTGAAGCAGCCAGTATACCACTCCTTCAGTTTCAGCATCATCTTTGTCTCATGCATGGATACCTTGTTTGACTCAACCAGTCTGTGCAAAAGCAGACAACACTTGATACATTCTTCAAATCCAATGTAAGTATTTGATAATATGTTTTCTTCTGTCTTCCTATAACTTGATGCTTTGTCTGCAGAGGTAAAGAATAGCTTTAGCAGAGGCCAAGGGTAGTACTTAAAGGTGTAGATATGTAGTGGTGGAAATCAGTCATAATTATTAAGTAATACACGTGGTTGAATATGTCACATTATGTCACAAAACGTGACAACTCAGTACAGAATAAATCTATTAAGGAATAAAATATATGTGAAACCAATGTATTTGTTATGAGATTATTGACTGTAATAGTATTCTTGTTAAGAGGGAGAACTT